CATCTTTAACCCCTACCTCATAGGAACCAGCTTTGTGCTGATCCTTATAAAAGAAATTATTTGTTTAACATTATATACAGAAAATCTCAAAGAGTCCATAGGAAAACTTCTAGAGGTAATAGAGGAATTTAGCAAAGTTGTAGGGTACAAGGTCAACAAACAAAAATGAGTTGGGTTTCTATACACCAGCAATGAGAAATCTCAAGCAGAAATTAGGGAAACAATTTCACTTACAATAGCATCTAAGAGAATAAAATACTTAGGAACAAATCTAACCAGGAACGTGAAGGACTTATACAATGAAAACTATAGAACACTGCTGAAAGAGATTGAAAATTTAAATAAATGGAAAGATGTTCCATGTTCATGGATTGTTAAGACTTAATATCGTTAAGGTGTCGATACTATCCAAAGTGATCCATATTCGATGCCATCCCAATCAAAATTACAACAACCTCTTTACAGAAAAAGAAAAACAAATTCTCAACTTTATAAGGAATGGCAAGAGGCCCCAAATAGCTAAAACAATGCTGAAAGAGAAGAAGAAAGTAGGAGGACTCACACTTCCTGATTTTAAAACATACTATACAGCTACTGTAATCAAAACAACCTGGTACTGGTATAACAACAGACACACAGACCAATGGAATAGACTTGAGAGTTCAGAAATAAACCCACACATTTATGGTCAACTAATTTTTGACAAGGGTGCTAAGTCCATTCAATGGGGAAATAAGAGTCTCTTTAATAAATGATGCTGGGAAAACTGGATTTCCACATGCAGAAAAATAAACATGATTCATGCCTCACACAATACAAAAAAACCAATTCAAAATGGATTAAGGACCTAAATGTGCAAGCTAAAACCATCAAATTCCTAGAAGAACAAGTAAGGGCAACGCTGTCAGCCCCAGCTTTCAAAAATGGATTATCTAACGTAATAACAAAAGCACAAACTGCAAAAGACAAAAATAAATAAACGGGACATCATAAAAATTAAAAACTTTTATCAAAAGACTTTATCAAAAAAGTGAAAAGACAAGCTACCGACTGGGAGAATATCTTCAGAAACCATATATCTGACAAAAACCTAATAACCAAAAAAGATGTATAACTTCGACACCTTAACAAAAAAGATAAATAACTCAATCAAAAAATGGGTAAAGGAACTGAATAGACATTTCAACAAAGAGGACATTCAAATGGCCACCAAACACATAAAAAGATGCTCAGCGTCATTAGCCATCAGAGATGCAAATCAAAACCACAGAGATACCATTTCACTCCCACTGAAGCAAACAAACAAAAAAAAAAAAAAAACACAAACATTGGCAAGGATGTGGCAAAACTGGAATCTCATCCATTGCTCGTGGGAATCCAAAATGGTACAGCCATTGTAGAAAACAGTGTGGCGGTTCCTCAAAAAACTAAAAACGGAACTACCATATGATGCAGCAATTCCACTCCTAGGCATATATCCAAAAGACGTCAAAGCAGAAACTTGTACATCAGTGTTCACTGCAGCACTATTCACAGTAGCCAAAAAGTGGAGACAACCTAAATGCCCATCAACAGATGAATGGATAAACAAAATGTGGTACATACATACAACGGTTGAGTTGCGTTTATTGATACATGCAAGTATATAAAATCAGGGCATGAACATGACTTGATAAATTAATTTCAATACTATAATAAGAGGAGCCAATTAAAACTTTCACCATTTGTTTCACATCCACAAAAGCCACTTCAAGGGCATTAATGAGCTCTCAAAACTGTTTTGTGCAAATAAACCATGTTTCTCTTAAAGACTTGGCTGCACTTGCCCAGGCTCAAGATATTAAAATCTAGCACGTAAGGTTCATTACTAGAGGCAGAAATACAGGCAGTATAACCATTACAGCAACAACCATCAATTACAGTTATGAATTTTTCTGTAACAACCGAATGGATAATCAAATATTGCAACAACTCAAGTACAACTGAGCAAAGTGCATTTCTACAGTATTCAGTGTTGCTATTCAGTTTTCTACATGCTACAGTATGGATGGGGCTTAAAGACATAATGCTGAGCAAAATAAGCCGATCACAAAAGGACGAATATTGTTATGACCTAACTTACATAAAAAGACAAGAAAACACATGGTCAATGTACACTGACCAAAGTTTATTAGTGGTTAGGAGGGAGGGGGAAAGGGGGGTCAAGGGTGACAGAAAAATTGCATTCATTAAGGGTAGGGTTGCACAGCCAATGATTTTTGTAATTGCTGTCAGTAAGTTGTACTCCCGTAAAAAACTGAATTGGCAAAAATTGTGTGATAAATATATTTACAACAATGACCAAAAAAACAAACAAACAAAAAACAGTAGCTGCTGAGGCTGCTTATGTACAATCAAACACTCATGGGATTTGGTTCCTTGGTTTGGCGTTTAGGGTCATGGTTTCACGGGACATCCAGGTTAACTGGACTAATTACATGTTTAGTGCTTCTGTTCTACCTCCTAGTTCGTTAAGTAGTGCCTGGGGTCTTAAAAGCCTGCAAGCAGCCATCCAAGGCACAACAATTGGTCTCTATTCACCTGGAGCAACAGAGGACGAAAGAGAGTCAAGAACAGTAGAAGAATACGGAACGTGTGGCTAGCTGCCTCCACGAACAACTGCCTTGTTTAGTATGAGACCAGAAGAACTGGATAGTGCCCAGCTACCATTACTGAACATTCTGATCAAAGATTCCATAGAAGAATCCTGTTCAAAAGGGGAAAAATGTAGAATAGTATTTAAAATTCTCATGGACTCTAGACTTTCTGGAGCCATGAAGGTTGGATGAACCCCTGAAACTACTGCCCTGAGATAATCTTTAAACCTTAAACCAAAAATATCCCCTGAAGTCATCTGAAAACCTGAACAATAGTTTATCTTAACTAGTAAAAAAGGTCTATTTTGAGTATTATGCTCTTTTGAGAACTATCTACATGGGATCAAACTGACAAAAGCAACTCAAAGGATTAGATAAGAACCTTAGGGGGCAGTGAGTTTATGTTGATCGGGGAGGAATAACTCAGAAAAGGAGGGTGAAAATGGTTGCACAACTTGAAAAATGTAATCAATGTCACTAAATTCTACATGTAGACACTGCTGAACTGGTCTATGTTCTGCTGTGTATACTCCCAACAACAAGGAAAAAATAAAAAGATTACAGCCTAAAAAAATCTATGGGGCAGTTCTACTCTGTCACATTGGGTCACTGAGTTGAAACTGACTCAACAGCACCTAACAACAATTTATTCCTGAGCACTCACTCTGCACCTGGGCTGCTGCTGAGCCCTCAACTACAACAACACAGAGCCAGTCCTGTCCTGTAGCCAAGTCATAGTTATTCTGACACCTTCAGAGACAGGTTCTCCCTCCAGCCCAGTGGTTCCTTCTTGGGAGACAGAAGGCAAGTGAGGGGCTCTCTGCGCGTCACCTCCTCTTCAGGGGGGCGGGGGCAATAGCAACCTCTGTCTCATGGGTGATTGTGGGGATTCAAAGTACTCATACGCCTAAAGCCCTTCTCACGTAGCCTGGCGCCTGAGAAGGACCACTAGATGTCAGCTGCTATTGTTAATAACATTTTATTCAACTATTCTTTCAAAAACTATTTGTTGGGCCAAACACTGGGATGCAAACGTGAACCAAATACACCCAGTGCCCAATCTCACAGAGCTGGGGGAAACAACTTCACAGGTATGTGCGTGTATATGTGCGCGTGTAGCAAACGTGCTGAGCTGCACAAAGGGGAAGGACAGGGAGCTATGGCATTTCTAAGGGCACCTGATTGAGTCCGGAGGAGGAGGAGGAGGGAGGACTTCCCTGAGGACTGACCTGGTAGATGAGCAGGGGTTAACCAGGTGTGGCTGGAGAGCACTTGGGTCATGGAGGAACAGCAAGGAGGCCCGTACTGCTTGAGCAAAGGACTGAGGCAGAGAGTGGGGCTGTACGACTCTGTAGGCGAGGCAAAAGCCCAACCATGCAGAGCCTCATAAGCTGTGGTAAGGAGCTGTGGTAGGGAGCTCTGGAGAAGTTCTGAGCAGGGGAGAGACAAGGTCAGCTCTGGGCTTTAGAAAGATCTCTCTGGCCACTCAGAGGAGGGTGGCCTAGAGGGGGCAGGAGACCGGGGTTGGGGGATGCTGGGGCAGTGAGGCAGTGATGCAGAAGTATGAGCGAATGTCAACATCAAGCTCACTACCGGGAGCTGATCTAACAGAACTGAAGCTGGTGAGCAAGTGCCATTTGAAGCTGGGGTCTCAAGGACAAGCAGAAGTTAAAGAAGTGAGTGAGAGGCATGGTAGGCACAAAGCCCTGTGGGGGCAGAGAAAAAAAAGGCAGGTGAAGTTGCCCTAGGACCAGGGCTTCAAACAGGTTTTTTCTGGTTCAAACCCCTGCTGAGAATTCGTATTTCTAACAAGATCCCAGGAAGTTACACATAAGAATCACCTGTGATCTTGTTAAAATGCAGATTCTGATTCAGTATATCTGGGGGTGGAAATGCAAATTCTCAGCAGGGGTGTGAAGCCCTGCTTAGGAGGAAGCTTCACGCTGGCAGAGGCCAGACCACAAAAGCCTCTTAGTCCATGCAGTGGAGTTTGGTCTTCTTTCCAAAAGCAACTGAAGCACCAAAGGATTTTAACAGGAGGACCTGATCAGATTTCGCCCAGCGAATACTGATGGCGCTCCTACTGTGTGCCAAGTCAAACCATAAGAATGGCTATGCTCTCCTAGGCCCTGGGAAGACAGCAATGAGCAAACAGATGACATTCTGTACTGCTCTGAATGTCACAAAGACATTCCTCCTTCCTGCTAACACCAGCTCTGTTTTCTGGGGCCACGCTAAACAGAATCTTCCAGGTTGAGACAATGATTAAGCTCAAGAAATGATTAGTGAATGGTCTCCTGAGGAAACAAGGCTCTTCTGCCTTATTCTCATTTTACCAGGGGCCCATCTTCCAGGGTTACTCACGATCTTTTCATAGTACTCCCGCCGCCGCTCAGCCCGCTTCTTGTAGTCGACCATCATGCCGCGAAGCTTCCGCTCATGCTTCCGAGCCTCGTGCCACATCGTGGTGAGGCCAAGGCTGAGGCCTCAACCTGGAGGAGGAGGGGACTGGGAATGTTTGATGGGCCACAGAAACCACACGGACTGAATCAAAGTCACCCAACAAATTGGTGACAGAGCTGACCCTAAACACCGTGTCTGCCAACTTCAGGGAGGGGAACTGAGGCCAGCAGAACGGTGTGCCAGGATCACCTGGAAGGCTTAAAAAAACAGATGCTCGAGTGTAGCCCTGACAACTCGGATCCAGTAACTTGGGCAACCTGAAAATCCGTCAGGGAATTCTTGGGATGAGCAGCCCTGGCAAAGGAGCGCCCTGGTTTCAACACGCTGGAGTCAGGGATGAAACGTTTTGGGATAGGAGTCACATGTGTTTGAAATAAGCTCTGGGGTAAGCGCCCAGCTGCTGAGGCTGGGAAGGGGACAAGCTAACCCCCCCCCCGCCCCCGCCACATGCGTGGAAGTGGGTATGGATCAGAGCAGTATGAGGATGAAGGCAGGTGGAGGAAGAGATGAAAGATTTCATGGGAACAAATTAGTGGTATGGGGTTGGGGGTGGAGGGCAGGTGGAGGGAAGATGACGATGCTGGGGGAGGAGGAGAAGCATGGAAGAATACTGTAGGGAGAGACCAGAACTGGGCCGAGATCTAAAGGATTCTGAATTGGAAGAGTATCCAGGTAAAAAGAGGGGATAGAGAGGAGGAGGAGAATCTGACTAACGGGAGTGGGTGGAGGGAGTTTGGGGGCAGAGCTTGCGGACAGGGGCGGAACCCGAGGGTTAGGACAGATTTGCGGACCCGATCGCGGCCTTAGGATTTGGACCGAGTCCTTCTGACAAGGGGGCGGGGCCTGTGGCAGACGGCGGGGCCGAAGGCCAGGCCCGACGCCGCGAGTTGGGGATCCAGGCGGGGGCAGAGGCGCGGCCTGAGGCCCCTCAGGACAGAGCGGGTACGGGGCAGGCGTCGCTCGGGGCCGAAACCCAGCAGAGGCGCACAGCGGACTGGGATTAGGCTGAGGCAAGGGCGGCGGTGGGCTGACGCAGGCCAGAAAGCCAAAGTGTCCGGCCCGCCGCCTTCACTCACCGCCTCGTCGCCACCTCCCGCAGCTGCGCTCGCGCGCGGCCCGCACCGGAAGCGGAAATGTTAGCTCGCGCGAAGGTAGTGAAGCGGAACTTGTCGACGCTCACATACGCCAACGCAAGGGGCGGGGTCCGGAGGCGGGAGGGGCGGGGCCTGGAGAGCGCAGACAATCCTGGCGACTTCGCCGTATAAAGGGCCCAGGCGTTTACCCAGGCTAAGAGACGACACCCTCTACTAAGGCTCAAAAACTCATCTTTATTGGGAAGACTTTGAACAAACAACCTACCCACCCCCTCCACCTTCAGGCCTGGGGAAAGAGAGCCAGGGATCTGCCCCCTCCTCCCAATCCGGCTGGAGAAGGTGTCCCCACGTGTGGGGGACAAGGCAGCTTTAACAAGCCAGTGGGACAGGGAGCAGGTCCTTTTTCCTCACCGGACTCAGTTTTCTCATTTGTAGAATGGGCTCAAGAAGACCCCCGTGCTCCAGACCAGGGCTCCTTGCCACGCGCTGAAGATGTCCGATTCAGATAGGACAAGGAGGTTGGCCAACTGTCCCAGGGCAGCCTGGGGCGCGGCTGGACGCCGGCCTCTCCACCACCCTCCCCACCCAGTGCGTCTGCTCCGCCAGCGCCCCGGGGGCTACGTGGCCTCAGGCCCAGGGGACAGGAGGCCACCCCCAAAGGCCGCCTCGCGGTACTGGTTGGGGAACATGTTGCTGCCCACGAGGCTGGCGGTGACCCCATCCCCAGGGCCCGAGGCCTGGTACGAGTCCAGCGTCAGCGGCTCGGGGCCGGGGGACTCCCCGACCGCAGCCCCCGCGCCCCCGCTGCCCGGGACAGCACTGGCGAGTGGCGGCGCCGGGGGCAGCAGGTCCAGCATGGTGAAAAGCGTGGGCGGCGTGGGGTCGTAGGCAAAGCTGTCGTCCAGGAGGTCCGGCCCGGTCGGGGGCTCCAGGCCGGGCAAGGACACTGGGCCGGGGAAGAAATCTGTGTCCGGCAGCAGGGCTGAGGACGGGAGGAAGGTGCCTGTGGAGAGAGAAGGAAGAGGGGTGGGCTTCAAGTCGAATCTGTTGAGGCCTTGACACACTGCATCCACATCGTGCTAAATGCGTTATCAGTGTGGCGTCCTTTAATCCTGAGAACCTATGAGTAGCGGCTTATCGTTTTCATTTGCTAAGCAAACAGGCAGAATAACTCGCTGCCACACAGCTGATGAGTTGTGGAACCAGGGTTGAAACCATGCTCCTGCAGGGCTGGGGAGAGTTTTTTCCAGAAACAGAAAGGAAAGGAGGCACCCAGCAGTAGCAGGCTGTTGTTATTAGCTGTCATCAAGTAGGCCCCTGAGGCACGGCCAGCTGTGGTGAAAGCAGTTTGTGATGGACTGCTAAACTAAAGGTTGGTGGTTCAAAACCGCCGAGGTTTTGAAAAAAGGCATGGTGATCAACTTCTGTAAAGATCACAACAAAGAAAACCGTATGGAGCAGTACTACTCTGCAACACATGGGATCCCCAGTAGTGGGCAAGCCCCCCAAAATATAGAGACAATCCAAAAAATGAAATGGGGGAAGTTGCCGGTCCCAAAAATTAGAAGGTAAAATAAGTGTGTCATTGCGGGAGACCTCTCTTTCTTTTTGAGACAAGACTAACCTCATCAAAGAGGCACTGATTACAACACTTACATTATCTCAGAAAGAAAGCCGGACAATGAAAAAGGAAGATCAAAGAAGAATTGACGCATTCGAATTGTGGTGTTGTCAAACAATATTGAATAGACCATGGACTGCCAGAAGAACAAGCAAATCTGTCTTGGAGGAAATACAGCCAGAATGCTCCTTAGACGCGAGGACTCCAAGACTCGTCTAGCTTACTTTGGACACATCATCAGGGGGACCAATTGCTGGAGAAAGACATCACTCTTTGTAAAGTAAGGGTCAGTGAAAAAGAGGGAGACCCTCAATGAGATGGATTGACACAATGGGCTCAAACGTAGCAATGATTCTGAGAATGGCGCAGGACCAGGCAACCTTTTGTTCTGATATACATAAGGTTGCTATGTGACGGAGCTGACTCCACAGCACCTAACAACAGCAACAGAGAAACTCTTAACCATCTCTGATGCTTGGTGTCCTGGAAGTTTCTATTCACTGCTTAAATAAAAAATAATTAATATAAACTAAAAATAATAATTAAGGAGGACCTGGAATTGTCATTATTGGTATGTCCTTAAAATTGAACCCTCCTGCCAAGGAACTCCCTACCCCTTTTCCCTGCTTTATATCTCCCCATAGCACTTAGCTACCTTCTAATATACTACATAGCTCACTTATTTATCTTGTTTATTATCCATCTCTCTCCATTAGAATGTAAGCCTCATGAAGGCAGAGACTTTTGTCCTCTTTACACACAAATATATCCCCAGCAACTAGAGCAGAGCCTGATGTGTAGCTCAATAAAACCTTGTTGAATGAATAAACGAGTGAATATGTGAATAACAAGCACGGATGGCAGAAACCGGACGAATGGTAATGGGGAATTCAGGGTGGAAAGGGGGAGAGTGACACGTGGGGACTGCAGCCAGTGTCACAAAACAATTTGTGTATAAGTTTTTGAATGAGAAACTAATTTGCTCTAAACTTTCACCTAAAGCACAATTAAAAAAAAAAAAAAGATGGGTGGCAGAGACTGCCAGCTCTCCCCCAATAACCTTTCTCCCCTTCTTCCAGGTTTTAGTTGCACATGGCTAAAAATCAAATGGGCCTGTGGCCGTCAACTTTGACTCATGGAGACCCTCTGTGTGTCAGAGTAGAACTGTGCTCCATAGGATTTTCAGTGGCTGATTTTTGGAAGTAGATCACCAGGCCTTTCTTTCAAGGCACCTCTGGATGGACTCAAACCTCCAACCTTTTGATTAGCAGCTGAACATGTTAACCATTTGCACCACCCAAGGACTGCAGTGCATATGGCTACTAGGACTCTATTTCCCAGCCTCCCTTGCTGATTGATGTGGTCATATGACTAAGTTCTGGCCAATGGGATATAAGCAGACATACTGTATGGGACTTCTAGAACTCAATGTTCAAGTTCTCCTTCCTGCTAGCTGGAATGTGGGCATGATGGCTGGAGCTGCAGCAGCTACATTAGATTAGATGGAAACGGAGTTGAAGATGGCAGGAGTTTGGGTCGCTGATGATTATGCAGCCACCATACCATCCCTGGACCACCTACCTCTGGGCTGTATTTATGTAATAGGAGAAACAAAATTCTATCCTGTTTAAGCCCCTGTTATTTTGGGTTATTCTGTGAATGAAGTTAAACAATCATTAACAAATGCAGGAGGCATTCCTGATTTCTAGCAAGTTCCTAACATCTGGGTACTAATTCTGTGCTAGCCACTGTGCTAAGTAACTATATGCACTAAATTCTAGAAAGGACTCTAAGAGGTAGGATCCCCATCTGACAGATGAGTAAACTGAGGCTCAAAGAGGTCACACAGCTGCTAAATTGGGGGCTCAGAATTCAAAACCAGTCTGATTCCAAAGGTCATGCTCCTGAACATCACACTACAATGGCTGGGTGACTTTGCCCCAAGGATGAGGGAGGGGGGCTTTAGACATGTGTGGGAAATTGGAGTGATGGGGGAGAGAGGTGAATGGCAGGTGGCTAATGAGGAAGGGCTTCAGGGATTGGTGGCTGGTGGGAAGGGCTAGGATTGGCACAGAGCTTCAAACCAGTTTGTTCCAGTTCAAACCCCTACTGAGAATTTGCATTCCCACCCCAGATATACTGAATCAGAATCTAAAGTTTAACAAGATCCTCAGGTGATTCTTATGTATAACTTCCTAGGAACTTGTTAGAAAGGCAAATTCTCAGCAGGGGTTTGAACGAGAACAAACAGGTTCGTTCTGGTTTGAACCCCTGGATTGGTGGTTGCTAGAGAGAGAACTGTTGGGGATTGGTTACCAGTTGTGGGGGCAGGGGCGGGAGAGGATAACAGGTGGTACTGGAACCTCCAGGGTGGGGTTGGCTGTGACCGTCTAGTCCAGGGCCCAGCAGATTCTGAGTGGTTGATGGCTAGCTGGGAGCCAGGTGCCCTGGGGCAGAAGGGTTATTGTTGGCAGTGTTCTCAGAGCTGGTGATCAGTGGGTGGGGAGGATTCTTCTGATGACAGCCACTTAGGTTTGGGATTCATGGCAATCGGAAGAAGGCAGGTGTAGAAAACAGACCAGTGGGTGGTTGGGATCGAGGTAGGCTACCTCTGATGACCACCCCCATTTATCCACTGTCTACTCCCTGCTACCCATTTTACAAACATGATCATTAGTCTATACAGATGCCGAGGTTCAAGTCCCTGCTTCACCACAGATCAGCTGTGTGACCTCGGGCAAGAGACTTAGCCTCTCCAGGCCTCAGTTTCTTCACCTGTAAAATGGAGGTGATGACAACAGCTACCTCACAGGATGATTGTGCAGATTATGATTAAGTACACATAGCACTTATGTGCCTGTCATATACAGTTGCTAGTGAGTCGATTCCAACTTATGGCAATCCCATGTGTGTCAGAGTAGAACTGTGCTCAATGGGGTTTTTAAAAGCTGATTTTTTAGAAGTAGATCGCCAGGCTTTTCTCCTAAGGCACCTCTGGGTGGACTCAAACTTCCAACCTTTTGGTTAGCAGCCAAGTGCTTTAACTGTTTGCATTATCTAGGGGTGCCTGTCAAATAATGTCTATAAAAAGAAATAAATTAAACTTAAAAGGCCAATGAGGTAGGTAAATGATAGGGCTTTTCAAAGGAGACTTCTGAGACTCAGAGAGGTGGAGGAACTTGGTAAAAGTCACACAGCAAGACAACGGCCCAGCCACCGTTGGAGCCTGGGGAATGTCTCCAGAACCCTTGTGTTATGGACTGAATTGTGTCCCCCCCGAAATATGTGTTGCAATCCTAACCTCTATACCTGTGGATGGAATCCCATTTAAAAGTAAGGTTTTCTTTGTTATGTTAATGAGGCCATATCAGCGTTCAGTGTCAAACGTGTCTTAAACCTACTCACTTTTGAGATATACCAAAAGCAGGTTAGATACAGCAAGCAAGCATGAATAAGGGAAGGAGAGATACACATGGAGAGCTACAAGGAATACAGAGAATAACGCTAGAGAAGCTGAGACAAGGATTTCTCTCAGAGCAGACAGTCCTGCCCTAGAGCGGTGCCCTAAATTTGGACTCCTAACCTCCTAACCCAAACCGAAAAAGCCTGTTGCAGTCAAACCGATTCCAACTCATAGTGACCCTATAGGACAGAGTAGAACTGCCCCATAGGGTTTCCAAGGCTGTAATCTTTAGGGCAGCAGACTGCCACATCTTTTTACCATGGAGCGGCTGGTGGGTTCGAACCACCTACCTCTCAGTTAGCAGCCAAGCGCTTAACTACTGCGCCACCAGGGCTCCTTTCCAACCTCCTGAACTGTAAGAAAATAAATTTCTGTTTGTTAAAGCCACCCACTTGTGTTTCTGTTATAGCAGCACTAGAAAACTAAGACACCTCGTTCTTTCCACTTTATGTTGGTGGCTAAGTGGTGAGCCGCTGGCCTCTTGGGAGCTCTCAGGGGAGGCTGAAGGGGCCAGAAGGGCTGGGACTCACCCTTGGCCCACCCCAGCGGGCTAGCGCAGAGCTGGGACCCACCTGAGCCATGGCTGGGCAGGAAGTGGTCCAGGAAGGCCGGCTTTTTCTTCCGCCGTTTGCTCTCAATGCCATGAGGGTCTGAGGAAAGGCAGAGATGAGGATCCCTTGACCTCGACAGCCCTCCCTCCCAGTCTGGGGTAAAGCAGGGCGAGAGGTCATTTATTCCCTCTGGGGACTAGAGGATGGGTGTGGGGAAGGGGCAGAGGGGACGCACCAGAGCTGTTCAGCTCCCCAAGGACATCAGGCATCCCTCGTTTCCGCTTCTTGTCCACGCCGTAGCTGTCTGAGCCAGAGACACAAAAAGTAATCCATCAATATTAATAATTAATTATAGAGTCCATTTAGGAAATTGTTGAGCTATTCCCATTCTTGGCCAACCAATGTAAACAGATGTCCACATCTTAATCAGAATAAAACTCAAATTGGCTTCTAGTACCTGGTGGTGTTGTAAGCTGCCCTCTAGTCGATTCCAACCTGTGGCAACCCCGCATGTGCAGAGTAGATCTGCTCCATAGGGTTTTCAAGGCTGTGACCTTCTGAGGTGTCTCTGCGTGGGTTCAAACCACCAACCTTTCAGCTAGTAGTCAAGCGCTTAACCATTCACGCCACCCAAGGACTCCTTTTCAGGACCTATGAAACCTAAAGAAATCACCTGCCACCCTCCTCACCTCCCTCCACCTTTTCTCCCTGATTTTATTTCCTAGGTACCCTTGTTCTCTCCATTCCAGCTACACTGGTCTTTGTAGTTCCTGAAACACCCCAGGCACAATCCTGCCTCAGGGCCTTTGCACTTGCTGTTCCCACTGCTTAAAACATGCTTCCTCAACTGCCACCACTTTCCTAGAGAACCACTTAGTCATCCTCTCAGCCTCAGCTCAGCTGTCCCCTACTCCAGGAAGCCCTCTGTGACCCCTTAGGCTGGGTCAGGTGCCCCCTCTGGGCTCTCCGAGCCCCCTGAGCTCCTCCATCCCAGTTCTGCCCACTCTGGTCGTCACTGTATGGGGACAGGTCTGTGAACCCCCTGAAGGCAGAGCCAGGGCTGTCTTGGTCACTGCTGTGTCCCCAGAACTGCCTGGCTCAGGGATGCGTATGAGCAGATATGTTGAGGGGATGAATGACTGAAAGCTTCCAAAATACCATGAGACAGGTACTATTAAGATTTCCATTTTGCCAGAATTTCAGATTCTCATGGAATCCAGGCTTTCTGGAGCCATGGAGGCTGGATGAACCCCTGAAATTATTACCCTGAGATAATATCTCTAAACCTTAAATCAAAAATATCCACTGAAGTCTTCTTAAAACTAAACAGAAGTTTAACTTAAGTAGTAAAGAATGTCCACCTTGAGCATTGTGCTCTTTTAAGGTCTATCTATATGGGATCAGAGCCCTGGTGGCACAGTAGTTAAGCGTTCGGCTGCTAACCAAAAGGTTGGCAGTTCAAAGCCACCAGCTGCTCCTTGGAAACCCTGTGGGGCAGTTCTACTCTGTCCTATAGGGTTACTATGAGTTGGAATTCACTCAACGGCAACAGGAATATGGGATCACATTGACAACAACTCGAAAGATTACATAGGGAGCTTAGGGAGCAGTGAGTTTATGTTAATGGGGGAGGAACAGCTCAAAAAAGGAGGGTGAGAATGGTTGCACAACTTTAAGAGTGTAATCAATCAATGTCACCAAATTGTACATGTAGAAACTGTTGAACTGGTATATGTTTCGCTGTGTATATTCTCCTCAACAACAATGCCAACAAATAAAATAAATTATAAAAAAAGAGAGAGAGAGAAGATTTCCATTTTGCACAGGAAGAAACTGAGGCTTGGAGAGGCAAAGCTCATACAGCCAGTAAGCAGTAGAGCCATGATTTGAAGCTTCCTCTATCCGGCTCCCCTGGTGGCGTAACGGTTAAGCCCTCGGCTGCTAACCAAAAGGTTGGCGGTTCAAACCCACCCCGTGGCTCCTAGGGAGAAAGACTTGGTGATCTGCTCCCCACCGGTAAAGTCATAGCCTTGCAAACCCTATGGGGAAGTTCTACTGTTACATGGGGTCTCTGTGAGTCAGAATTGACTGGATAGCACCCAACAACAACAATATAACCCTTAGAGTCCCTAGGTGGTACAAACGGTTAAGTACTTGATTACTAATGAAAGGTGGGCAAGCTGGTGGTTCAAACCCACCCTGGGGCCCCTCAAAAAGAAAGGCCTGGCAATCTCCTCCCATAAAGATCACAGCCTAGGAAACCCTAGGGGGCAGTTCTACTCTGTAACACACGGGGTCACTATGAGTCAGAATTGACTATCTGGCTCTGAGCCTGCATTCTGCTTCTGTCTCTTCCCCCTTTCCCCTCTGGGCTACCCTAAGCAAGGCCAAAAACCTGCCCCCGGAGGGGCAGTGAGCACCCTAGGTTGCCGTGGTTACCGTGGTCCCGAGGCAGGTAGGTGAAGGGCAGTGGCTCGCTGCAGACCCCGTCGGTGAGCCGCTGCAGGAAGACGTTGACCGTCACGGGTTCGGTGATCTCCAGGTCCTCGTAGGGTGGCGTCTTGAACACGATGGCAATCTGACGGTGCACATCGGCCTGGGAAAAGTCGGCCCGGCCTTCCCAGGAGGCCGTGCTGAATACCACCGATATGTCCTCTGGCGGGAAGGTGGGGTCATCAGCTGAGCCAGGAGGGCCAGCCTGCCTGGCCCCCAACACACTCAGCCTCCCCCAGAATCAATATTAATATTCCTAAGAATAAAACTGGGACCCTGGATGGTGCAATTGGTTGACACAGTTGGCTGCTAACTAAAACATGGGCAGTTCAAGTCTACCCAGAGGCACCTCGGAAGAAAGGCCTGGTGATGTACTTCTGAAAAAAACATCAGCCATTGAAAACCCATGGGCCAAAACTATTACCCTGAGATAATCTTAAAACCTTAAACCAAAAATATCCCCTGAAGTCTTCTTAAAACCAAACAATTTGTATATTTTGTTGTGTACTCTGAACAACAACAAAATAAATAAAATTTAGGAAAAAAAAACAAGCAGTAACTAGTAAAGAATGCTGCCTTGAGCATTGTGCTCTTTTAAGATCTATCTATATAGGACCAAATGTACAACAGCAACTCAAAAGATTAGATAGGAAACTTAAGGGGTAGTGAGTTTATGTTAATGGGGGAGGAACAACTCAGAAAAGGAGGGTGAGAATGGTTGCACAACTTGAAAAATGTCATCAATGTCACTGAAATATACATTCAGAAACTGTTGAATGGGTGCATGTTTTTGCTGTGTATATTCTCAACAACAACAAAAATGAAATAAATTATTAAATAAATAAAAAGAAAATCCATGAAGCACAGTTCTACTCTGACACACCAAGAGAAATCGCCAAGAGTCAGAATCGATTCAACAGCAATTTTTTTTTCAGGACTAGAACTCATCATAGTGGCAGCTAACTTTTTGTCTAGCACTTCCTGTGTGCCTGTCACTGTTTATGTATTTTTTTAAATATATTTTCTCAGGTGATTCTCATTGAACACACCTAACCAGGAACCCTGGTGGCGCAGTGGTTAAGCGTTTGGCTGCCAACTGAAAGGTCAGCGGTTTGAACCCACCAGCTGCTCCACGGGATAAAGATGTGGCAGTCTGCTTCCGTAAGATTATAACCTAGGAAACCCTATGGGGCAGTTCTACTCTGTCCTACAGGGTTGCTATGAGTAGAAATCAACGCAATGGCAATGGGTTTGGGTTTTGTTTGAAGAGGTAGATAGAATTAGGGTCCCCATAGGCATGTTTAGGTTTGGAGATTCACTGGGAGGACTCACAGGGCTCGGCATACAGTTGTACTCACGACCATGATTTGTTATAGTGAAAAGATACAAAGCACAATCCACAAAGGGAAAAGGCGCATCCGTGAAGTCCAGAGGAGATCAGGTGCAAGCTTCCAAGAATCTCGTCTGGTGGAGTCACACAAGAGTCACTTAATTCCCCCAGCAACAAGATGTGACAACCCGTGTGAAGTGCTGTCTACCAGAGAAGCTCATTACAGACCCAGCACCCAGGGTTTTTACTGGGGGCTGCTCACATAGGCACCCTCTGCCAGACAAGCAGGAGTCCCTGGGTGTTGCAAATGGTTAACATGCTCAGCTGATAACAGAAGGGTTGGAGGTTCAACTCCACCCAGAGGCACCTCAGAAGAAAGGTCTGGACTATTGCCCTGAAATACCCTTTAAGCTTTGTACTGAAATCACAGCCAGAGCTCACCTTTCAGCTATATAACAGATTGGCTCATAAAATAAATACCACCTGTGAGTACTGTGCTCCTTTAAAAAATCATCTGCCTTCTCATCTCACCTCCAGACAAGAGCCGCCCATTTAGTCTCGTGTATCTGCTTGAGCTAAGAAGCACACTCTTCACGAGTATCATTTTATGTCCCATAGTCCAGTCTAATGTTTGTCTGAAGAGTTGGCCTCAGGAATGGTTTTAGTTCTGGGTTGACAGAGAGTCCGAGGGCCATGGGGTTCCTCCAGTCTCAGTCTGGTGTTTTTACTAGAATTTGTGTTCTGCACCCCACTTTTCTCCTGCTCCATCAGGGACCCTCTGTTGTGTTCCCTGTCAGGACGTTCATTGGTGGTAGCCAGGCACCATCTAGTTCTTCTGGTCTCAAGCTGATGGAGTCTCTGGTTTATGTGGCCCTTTCTGTCTCTTGGGCTAATACTTTCCTTGTTACTTTGGTGTTCTTCATTCTCCTTTACTCCAGGTGAGTTGGGACCAACTGATGCATCTTAGATGGCTGCTCACTAGCCTTTATTTTTATTTCTTTTCCTTACAAAAATTTATACATACATTGTTATGTGACTCTAATTGCTCTCCCTGTACGGTGACAGCACACTCCTCCTTTCCACCCCTGATTCCCCATGTCCATTCAACCAGCTCCTAACCCTCTCTGCCTTCCATCTCACCTCTGGACAGAAGCTGCCCATTTCGTCTCTTGTATCTACTTGAGCTAAGAGGCACACTCCTCACGAATATCACTTTATGTCCCACAGTCCAGTCCAATCCCTGTCTGAAGAGCTGGCCTCGGAAACTGTTTTAGTCCTGAGCTAATAGAGAATGCAGGGGGCCATGCTCTCCAGGGTACCTCCAGTCTCAGAAGAAGTCTGGTCTTCTTACTAGAATTTGAGTTCTGCACCCCACCTTTCTCCTGCTCCATCTGGGACTCTCTGTTGTGTTCCCTGTCAGGGCGGTCATTGGTGGTAGCCGGGCACCAACTAGTTCTTCTGGTCTCAGGCTGATGAAGTCTGGTTTATGTGGCCCTTTCTGCCTCTTGGGCTACTACTTTCCTTGTGTCTTTGGTGTTCTTCATTCTCCTATACCCCAGCTGTGTTAGGACCAATTGATGCAACTTAGATGGCCACTCACTAGCTTTTAAGATCCCAGATGCCACTCACCAAAGTAGGATGCAGAACATTTTCTTAATAAACGTTATGTTAATTGACCTAGATGTCCTCAGAAAGCACGGCCCCCAGACTCTCTGTGAACCTGGAACTAAAACCATTCCTGAGGCCAACTCTTTAGACAAAGATTAGACTGGATGGGACATAAAATGATACTCATGAAGAGTGTGCTTCTTAGCTCAAGTAGATACATGAGACTAAATAGGTAGCTCCTGTCCAGAGGCGAGATGAGAAGACGAGAGGGTCAGGAGCTGGTTGAATGGACACGGGAAATCCGGGGTGGAAAGGAGGAGTGTGCTGTTCACAGCATAGGGAAAGCAATTAGGGTCACATAACAATGTATGTAGAAAGTTTTGTATGAAAGACTAACTTGAATTGTAAACTTCCACTTAAAGTACAACAATTAAAAAAAAAATCATTTATAGGAGACCAAACAGTCAACATTTACTCTAAAGCAACGATGATGGGCAACACCTGCCCAAAAGCAAAGACAAGAAGGCAGGAAAGGACAGGAAAACTGGACGAATGGTCATGGAGAACCCGGGGTGGAGACAGAAAGGGGGACAGTACTGACATATTACAGGGATTGCAACCAAAGCCACAAAACAATTTGTGTATAAATTTTTGAATAAGAAACCAATTTGCAGTGTAAACTTTCACCTAAAGCACAATAAAATTAAACAAAAAAAAAAAAGGTGAGACGTTAAGAGGGGGCAGCGAAGCTAGATTAACAGAACAGAACATCCAAAACAGAAATAATGAGAATGTTAACACATAGTGAAAAACGTAACCAATGTCACTCAACAATATGTACAAAAATTATTAAATGGGAACCTAATTTGCTGTGTAAACTTTCACCAAACTCACAATAAAATATTATTTTAAAAAGGAAGAAGGAAGGCCTGGGAATCTACTTCTGAAAAAAGTAGAAAACCATTGAAAACCCTATGGAGCACAGTTCTACTCTGACACACACAAGGTCACCATAAGTCAGAATCAGACTCAATGGCAACTGGTAGGTAGTCTGGCTCATACTGAAATTCCAGACTCCCAGAAGGAAAGGAAGTTTTCAGCATAAACCATGATGTTTGTACAAAGAGTTTAGGCACAGTGAGCCATTTCTTCAGGGAATGGTGGGAACCTTCTGAAAATCCAAGTTCCTAGACACCAGCCAAGGACCTTGTAAGCAGGTCTTCAAAGGAGAGCAGTCTCAGGCCTTCTATGTTAACTCTTTTCTGCACACTCACTTTAAAGATGGGGAAATCAAGACTCAGAGGGGTTAAGAGACTTATCCAAGGTCACATAGCTGGCAGCAGGAGGGTCAGGATTCAGTGTGCTACTCTGCTTGTTATTTCTTTTTCTTGTCTTATTGCATTGTCTCTCATACATTTACTCTGTGTACTGAGGCTTTGTATGTGTCAGACTGCCTCTAAGACTCACAACAATCCTATGAAGAAGGTACCATTAGGCCTCATTAAATAGAGGAGGAAACCAAAGCACAGAAAGGTAAAGCCATTTGTCCAAGGTCACACAGCCAGTAAGTGACAGCTAGGATGGGAATCCTAATCAGCTAGAGCTTATGCCCACCAGCTTTGCCGGAGTTTAGGGAAGTCACCTGATATTTCTGGACTAGTTTCCTTACCTTGTTGTTTTGTTAGTTGCCACCGAGTTGATTCCAACTCATGGCAAACCCACGAGTGCAGAATAGAGCTGCTGCATGGGGTTTTCAAGGCTGTGACCTTTCAGAAACAGATCACCAGGCCTTCCTTCCTATGAGTCTCTGGGTAGATTTGAACTGCCAACCTTTTGGCTAGTCGTTGGGCACTTAACCATTTATGCCACCCAGGGACTCTGTCATGGATTGAATTATGTCCCCCAAAAATATCTGTCAACTTGACTGGGTCATGATTCCCAGTATTGTATGATTGTATAATCTGACGTGATTTCCTTATGTGTTGTAAACTCTCTATCACTATGATGAGGTTATATGTGATCTTCTTATGTGTTGTAAACTCTATCCCTATGATGAGGTTATACTGATGACATCTACAAGATTGGATTGTGTCTTAAGCCAATCTCGCTTGAGATATAAAAGAGAGAAGTGAACAGAGACAGATGGGAACCTCACACCATCAAGAAAGCAGCGCCAGGAGCAGAGCGCATCCTTTGGACCAGAGGTTCCTGCGCTGAGATGCTCCCAGACCACGGGAAGACTGATGCATCACAAGGACCTTCCTCCAGAGCCAACAGAGAGAGAAAGACTTCTCCTGGAGCTGACACCCTGAATTTGGACTTGTAGCCTACTGGACTGTGAGAGAATAAACTTCTCTTTGTTAAAACCATCCACTTGTGGTATTTCTGTTAAAGCAGCACTAGATGACTAAGACAGACTCCTTTCCCTACCTTAATAGAGGGATTATAACAGTACCTACTACACAGGGTTGCAATAAGAATTAAGTGAGTCAATCCAAGTCAAGGGCTTAGAAGAGGACTTAGTACATAAAAGATGCTCAGCCCATGTTAAATATGATTGTTCCTATTACTAATGCAGATGACACAACCTTGCTTGCTGAAAATAAAGAAAATTGGAAGCACTTACTGATGAAGGTCAAAAACCACAGCCTTCGGTATGGATTACACCTGAACCTGAAGAAAACGAAAATCCTCACAAATGGACGGATAAGTAACATCATGATAAATGGAGAGAAAATTCAAGCTGTCAAGGATTTCCTTCTACTTGGATTAACAATCAATGTCCATGGAAGCAGCAGTCAAGAAATCAAAGACGTATTGCATTGGGCAAATGTACTGCAAAAGACCTCTTTAAAATGCTAAAAAGCAAAGATGTCACTTTGAGGACTAAGGTGCAGCTGACCCAAGTCATGGTATTTTCAGTCGATTCATATGCATGGGAAAGCTGGACAACGAAAAAGGAAGACAGACGAAGTATGGATCCATTCAAACTGTGGTGTTGGCAAAGAAAATGAATATACCGGGGACCGCCAGAAGAACAAACAGGTCCGTCTGAGAAGAAATACGACCAGAATGCTCCTTAGAAGTGAGGACGATGAGACCTCAGCTCGCTTACTTTGGACTTATCATCAGGAAAGGCCAGCTGCTAGAAAAGGACATCACGTTTGGAAAAGCAGTAGTTGTGTGCTGCTACCGAGTCGATTTCAACTCATGGTGACCTCAAGTGTACAGAGTAGAATTGCTCCACGGGCTTTTCAAGGCTGTGACCTTTCAGAAGTAAATCGCCACACCTGTCTTCCCAGGTGCCTGTGAGTGGGTTCCAACCACCAACCTTCTAGCTAGTAGTTGAGGGCTTAACTGTTTGCACCACCCAGATACTCCTAGTGAAGCAGAGGGTCAGAAAAACGAGGGAAACCCTTTGTGAGGCAGACTGACACAATAGCTGAAACAATGGACTCAAACACACCAACGATCATGAGGATGGCACCCGACCAGGCACCATTTTGTTCTGTTACACACAAGGCCGCCATGAGTCCCAGCTGCCCCCACAGCAACCAATAACAACAACAAGCTCCAAGCCTGGCACTCAGAAAGTCCTCGGTAAACGCCAATGCTGTAGTGTGGTTCTGGGGCAGTTAGGATCTCATCTCATCCTAACAGCCCATTTTAGAGATGAGTAAACAGAGACTCAGAGCAGTGAAATCACCTGCCTAAGATCGGCCAGTGAATGAATGATGGACGAGAACTCACACCCACCTCCAGCCGTTCACCCACACCTGAAACAGCTTCCCTGTCCTGGCCCCAGCTTCCAGACCCCAGCCCATCTCCTCTGCAGTCCTTGGATCTCAGCTCAAACAGCACATCCCCTGAGGGGCCTTCCTTGATGCCCAAGTCCCGTCTTTCCGCTGTCTAATTTCAGTACTTTGTCTTCTGCCCTCTCAGCACTTACATTCATGATCTTCCTCTCTTCTCCTCCCTTCCACTGGACTGAGAGCCGGGTGAGGACAGGGCTGGGGCTGTCTTAGTCACAGCTGTGTCCCCAGCACTGCCCAGCACAGGGCCTGGCAGAGAGAAGCCACCCGATAACCGTGTACCTATTCGTTCATTCATTCATTCATTCAAAATTGTGTGAGAATCCCATGTGTGCCTGAGCATACAGGCTTCACTCAGTCTTTGTACAGGAGGGAGTAAGTGAGTCAGTGAGTGAATGAATCAGCTGCGTCTGTCTGACTCCAAAGCCAGAGTTCTGGATCTATCCGCTCCGCTGCCCCAGCTAACCAGCTGTTCCTCATCCTCTGCTAGGGGTTGATTTGGGTCCCTCAAAAAGATATGTTCAAGTGGGACAACTCAGTCAATTGGTTCACTATACAGTTCACTAAATTTATGTTCTACATCCTAGTTTGGTGAGTAGTGTCTGGGGTCTTGAAAGCTTGCAAGCAGCCATCTAAGACACAACTATTGGTCTCTACTCATCTGGAGCAAAAGAGAAAGAAGGAAACCAAAGACTCAAAGAAGAAACTACTCTACAGGGCAAATAGTCTACATGAACCACGGCCTCGTCTACCCTGAGACCAGAAGAACTAGATGGTGCCCAGCTACCACTACTAACCATTCTGATCAGGAACACAATAGATGGATTCTGATAGAATGGCAGAAAAATGTGAAACAGAACCCCAAATTCCTTTAAAAAAAAAAAGACCTGGTTGAGACTGGAGGACTCCCCAAGACTATGGCCCTGAGACACTCTTCAAACCTTGAACTGAAACTAACCCCTGAGGTCACCTTGTAGCTAAATAACAAATTGGCTCCAAAAATCATGAGTATCACCCGTAAGTACTGCACTCCTTTAAAAAATCATCTATATGAGACCAAACAGTTGACAATTACTTTAAAACAAACATGAGAATGTAAGGGGGCAGGGAAACTAGATGAACGGAAACAGACCAACCAGAATGGAAATAATGAGAATGTTCACACATTGTAAAGAATATAACCAGTGTCGCTGAACAATTTGTATACAAACTGTTGAATGGGAACCTAAACTGCTGTGTAAACCTTCACCAAAAACATAATAAACTATTATTTGCAAAAAGAAGAGGGTAAAAGACACAGATACAGAGAGACCTAGAGGGAACACAGTCATGTGAAGGCAGAAGCAGACATTGGAATGATGCCGCCACAAGCCAAGGAATGCCTGAGGCCACCAGAAACTGGAAGAGACCAGGAAGGATCCTCCTTTGGAGCCTTCAGAGAGAGCACAGCACTGCTGACACCCTGAATTTGAACTGCTAGCCTCCAGAACCGTGAAGCAACACATTTCTGTCATGTTAAGCCACAGACTTTGTGGAAACTGGTTACAGCAGTTCTAGGAAATGATTGTACCCTCTCACCCCTCTGGTTCCCTGGCTGCCGGACTGGCCTGGGCTTGCTGCCCCAGCCTCTCACCTTTCTGCACCTTGTCGCACAGCAGGTAGAGCTCCTCACCACCTGTGCATGGCCCGCTCTCCTTGTTGATCCGGCAGATCCGCAGCTCTGATGTGTTTGTGGACTCTGGGAGGGAAGGAGGGAGGGAGTGAGGGAGGGGAAGAGGCATGTAAGCCGGCTGAGGATGCAGTCATCACAGACACCCTGGACTGTGGAGAGGAGGGAGGTGGAAACAGTAGGGCCTGATTCTCCTGGGGCCCATGGTGCAGGTGGAGGAAGATGAAGCTCAGATTGGCGGGGCTAAGGGGCAATCAGGAGCCCCTGGGTGGCGCAAACAGTTACGCGGTCAACTACTAGCTGAACGGATGACAGTTCGAATTCACCCACAGGCACCTCGGAAGACAGGTCTGGCAACCTGCTTCTGAAAGGTCATGGCCTTGAAAACCCTCTGGGGTGCAGTTCTACTCTGCACACATGGGGTCGCCATGAGTCAGAATCAACTGGACGACAACTAACAACAAGAACAATAACAATGGATGGTCACAAGTCTTTCTCCACACTGAGGTCTGGTCAGTGTCTGCAGAGGGCCAAAAGCGAGACCCTCGGGCTTTGGGGAGAGCTGGTGGGGTCAGGGGTCTGAGAAGGTTCCTGGAGGAGGCTTAATGCCCTCAAATCTGTAGTGAACAAACTGTTATCTTGCCTGTCCATTAATGGTTTTTCTCTCCATAAAAGAGAGAGATAGTATTCATGCTGCCTGTTCCCTGGGGCTGCCGGGTACAGTTTTATAGATTGCGCATTGTACAACAGTACGAAGTCCCATTTACATAGGCTACATAGTAAATGCTGATTCTTGAAATTGAGCAGTGCAAAACATGCACAACCATACAGGTCAACCCTGCCCATCGCATGCCTTGAACACAGATATGATGTTCGAGCTGTGGCAGCTATTTCATGACCGTGACGGAAAAGCCAAGAGAATCACATAGTAGCTGATATTGCTGAGTAGCTGAATCATGCTAGCAGACATACAAATTGAGATAAAAATAAATAACTCTCTGCTTGTTTATGCCCCTGTACGTGGGGCTTTCTGGTACCTGTGGTCAAGGACAATCTGAGGGGGCACAGCACCCTCAACTCACTCTTGTCATAGACAGGCTCAGAGAGCACAGGGTCCATCCGGCACATCTGTCCCTGCTGGTCTCGATACAAGGCCTGGAAGCAGATCCTCACGACGTTCATGTCCACCTCCTGATGGTTCTTCAGGGACCCGGCTGTGGGGTGAGAAGTGGGAAGGCTGAGTGGGAGGGGACACCCTGGGAGTGGGGATGGAGGGAAGGGATGGGGCCTGGAGAAGGAGAGGGGCAGGCAGAGAGGGCGAAGGGCTTGGGAGAACAGGGAGCCCAGGTTAGGCGGGGGGCTCACCGTTGTAAGGGTCGATGCCCAGTTGGATCTTGCGCTCAATGGCGGCCTCAATCTCCTTCTTTCTCACACACTGGATGCCCAGGTTGTTAAAGCTGAGTGGCCGGCGGGAGCGGGGAGGATACCCGTGAGGGGCAGGCAGTGGCCCTGACCCACAGGAGCTCCGGCCAATGCTGCCACGGGGCTCACAGTCTTGGGGGCCTCAGACACCCCAGGCCCAGGGTCCCAGCATTAGGAGGGGCCTGAGGTTCAACCCCTCAGGGGCGTCAAGGATTCTTTTTTTTCATTTAAAAATTGTATGAGAAAATACTTTTTATTTTTATAGCTTACTTATATTGAGAAACCAATTTTCTTCAGTATTATTTATTTTTAGCCCACATGTCAGAAGCATATTTTTATAGGCTTATTACATCGTATAATTGACATAACCTGAAGTCACTTCTTTTTTCAACAGAAAAAATAGGTTTTTTTTTTTTTAAGTAATACCAAAAAAAAAAAAAACCCAAACTCATTTCCGTCGAGTTGATTTGGACTCATAGCGACCCTATAGGACAGAGTAGAACTGCCCCATAGGGTTTCCAAGGAGCGGCTGGTGGATTGGAACTGCCGACCTTTTGGTTAGCAGCCAAGCACTTAACCACCGTGCCACCAGGGCTCCTAAGTAATGCCAGTTTACCTGAATTAAAGGATTATATTTCCACAAGCACACTGAAAGACTTTGCTCATTTCTAGAACGTCTCAATTTCCTCCTCTACAAAATCGGGAGAAGCATCACGTGTGTGGAAGGGTTCCAGGCCTGGTACAGCCCCTGATTCTAAGTATAGGTAAGACCCTCTACCGCCACCCAGGCCTCGGTTTCTCCATCTAGGAAGTGCAGTGGGTCCCTCCCCTCCACGCCCTGAGATTTCCCTGGGTGATCCTCACTCAGTCCCCTAGAATCTCCACAACCAAGGGTCAGGAGTTGGGGTCAGGGGTCAGGGGTCGGGTACCTGTGCCGGGGGCTGACGTGGGGCCGGAGCCGCACCCTGCAGACTCCATCAGTGCAATCTTTCCCCACGAGGCTGTGGGGGTGGACTCGGTGAGGCCAGTCCTTCCACACCAGGCACGCCGTCACCTCCACCTCCCGCAGCCCTCCGCAGTCTCGGAGCTGCAGGAAGACCGGTGCTCTCTGGGGGCCTCATCGCAGACGCCCGCACCCACCTGGACCCCCTGGGATGGCCTTTGACAGCTCCCCACCCCTCTCCCTCATCCTCCACCAGAATATGAAGATGGAATAATTTGGAAGGGTGTTTCCTTGAGACCCTTCTAAGACCCTAAAGGGGGGCAGTGGTAGCTCCGTGGTAGAATTCTCCCCTCCCATGCGGGAGACCTGGGTTCCATTTCCGCCAATGTACCTCACACGCAGTCGTCTGTCAGTGGGGGTTTGTGTGTTGCTAGGATGCTGAACAGGTGTCAGCAGAGCTTCCAGACTAAGACGGACTAGGAAGAAAGGCCTGGAGATCTACTTCCTAAAATCAGCCGGTGAAAACCCTGTGGATCACAACGGTCAGATCCCCCAACATATCATGGGGATGACACAGGACTGGGCAGAGTCTTGTTCCATTGTTGAGGTTTCTTCTTTTTGGTTTGTGACTTTGGAGACCCCATGTGTTACAGAGTACCACTACTCCATAGGGTTTTCCTGGCTTTAATCTTTACAGAAACAGGTTGCCAGGCCTGTTTCTTCCGTGGTGCCGCTGGGTGAGTTTGAACCGCCAACTTTTTGGTTACCAGTTGAGTGTAAACCATTTGCACCATCCAGGGACCTTGCATTTCATTCCATCTTGCGTGGGGTCATCATGAGTCAGGGGCTGACTCAACGGCCGCTAACGGCAACCACAAGATCCTAAGGCTCTTCCTGAGGCTTCAAACGGGTGGCCTGGGGGCCGTGCCTGTCCTACAGATGGACTATCTTTGGCCACCTAGAGGTTTGCACAAAGGGTCTCCAAGTAGCACCCCACAGATAACTTACTAATTCCAAGGGGAGAAGGCACCTTTACAGGGCACAGACCTGGTGGGCACCACCTGAACCCAGTGATCCAGCTCAAACCTGGAAAAAAACCCATTGCTATCCAGTGGATTCCAACTCACAACGACCCTATAGGGCAGAGTAGAAACCCCACAGAGTTTCCAAAGCTGTAATCTTTACACAAGGTGACTGCCACATATTTCTCCCTCAGAGCTGCTGGTGGGTTCGAACTGCCCGCCTTTCAGTTACAGCTCAGCACTTAACCTCTGCAGCACCAGGGCTTTTTGATCACACTCAGCATCACCAATATTGGGACAAAACGACTCGATGCCTCCTGAGGGGGTACGCCAGAAAGGACACAACATCACTTCTGTGATCTCCCTGCAAAAGTGCACCCCCGAGGGCAGTGAAGGAGCTCTGGTGGCGCAGAGGTTAAAAGCTCAGCTGCAAACCAATGGATCGGCAGTTCAAATCCACCAGCAGCTCCTTAGAAACCCTATGGAGCAGTTGTACTCTGTCCTATAGGGTCGCTATGAGTCGAGATCGACTCAACGACAACAGGGTTGTTTGTTCTTTTTATGGAGGGCGGTGAGGTTGTGCTCTTGTTGTTGTTGGGTGCTGCTGTTATGATTCTGACTCATAGTGACCCTATGGGACAGAGCAGAACTGCCCCCTAGGGTCTTCTTGGCTGTAATCTCTACAGGAGCAGATCGCCAGGTCTTTTCTCCCACAGAGCCACTGGTTAGGTTTGAACCGCCAACCTTTCGGTTAGCGGCTGAGTGCTTAACCACTGCACCACCAGGGCTCCTTAGAGGTTATGTTAATGGGAGAAAAAAATTCAGAAAAGGAGGATGAGAATGGTTGCACAGTTTGAAGAACGGAATCAATGGCATTGAATAGTACACACAGAAATTGTGGAGATGGCCTATGTTTTATTTGGCATATTTGCACCAAAAAAATTTTTTTAAGTGTATCCCCTGAATCTAACCATGAAGAAACACCAAAAAAAACCAAAACAAACCCATTGCCATCGAATCAATTCCAACTCACAGTGACCCTACAGGACAGAGTAGAACTGCCCCATAGGGTTTCCAAGAAGCGGCTGGTAGATTCGAACTGCCGACCTTTTGATTAGCAGCCAGGCTCTTAGCCACTGTGCAACCAGGGAAGAGATATCAGGTAAGCCCAAACTGAAGGTTGTTCTACTATGTAAAAAAATATCAGTCCTGCCATTTTTTGGGTAGCGAAGCTATTCTATCTGACACTGTAATGATGGATGGCTGGCATTATGCGTTGGTCAAAGCCCACACACCTGTACAACTCAAACGGTGAGCCCTAATGTAAACTGTGGGCTTTAATTAACAATAATATATCCATATCGGTTCATCAATTACAGCAAATGCACCCCACTAATGCAATATGTTAGTAATAGGAGAAACTGTGGGGGTACAGAATAGGTAGTGGTTATATCGGAGCTCTCTGAACTTTCTGTACAATTTTTCTGTAAACCTAAAACTGCTCTGAAATACAGTCTAGTCTCTTTTTTTTTTTTTAAATCAGCCTGTGAAAGATCTGTAAAAAGATGGGCATCATATTCTGAATTTAGAGACCAAATCTGCACACCTGGAAGAATGTAATCGTTATTACTGAATTATACATGGGGAAATTGTTGAATTGGTGTATGTTTTACTGTGTATTTTCTTACCACAATAAAAAATCAACTAATTAATTTAAAAAAAAAAAAAAAGAGAGCAAATCATGTATTTTGATCTAGATGGTAGTTAAACAGTGGATAACAAAAAAAAAACCCCAAACTTGTTGCCGTTGAGTCGATTCTGACTCATAGCCACCCTAGAAGACAGAATAGAACTGCCCCATAGGGTTTCTAAGGAGCGACTGGTGGATTTGAACTGTCAACCTTTTGGTTAGCAGCCAAGTTCTATTTTTTTTTTCCCCCATACAAAAATTTATACACACATTGTTATGTGACCCTAATTGCTCTCCCCATACTGTGACAGCACGCTTCTCCTTTCCACCCCTGATTCCCCATGTCCATTAACCAGCTCCTAACCCTCTCTGCCTTCCCATCTCACCTCCGGACAGAAGCTGCCCGTTTAGTCTCTTGTATCTACTTGAGCTTAGAGGCACACTCCTCACAAGTATCAGTTTATGTCCCATAGTCCAGTCCAATCCCTGTCTGAAGAGTTGGCCTCGGAAGTTGTTTTAGTTCTGGGCAGGTAGAGAATCCAGTGGCCATGTCTTCCGGAGTCCCTCCAGTCTCAGTCAGACCATTAAGTCTGGTCTTCTGACTAGAATTTGAGTTCTGCACCCCACCTTTCTCCTGCTCCATCTGGGGCTCTCTGCTGTGTTCCCTGAGCAGCCGAGTTCTTAACTGCTACACCACCAGGGCTCCACACAGTGGATACGTGTGTAAAAACTGATTGAGTGTACACTTAAGGTTTGTGTACTTTAACCAATACCAGTTGCCATGGGGTCGAACTCATAGAGACCCCATATGTGTCAGAGTAGAACTGTGCTCCCATACAGTTTTCAACTGCTGATTTTTTGGAAGTAGATTGCCAGGCCTTTCTTCTGAGGCACCTCTAGATGGACTCGAACTTCCAACTTTTTGGTTTGCAGCCAAGAGCATTAACCATTTGTAATACCCAGGGACCCTTTGGGAGCCCTGGTGGCACAGCGGTTAAGAGCTCAGCTGCTAACTAAAAGGTTGGCAGTTCAAATCTACCAGCCGTTCCTTGGAAACCCCAGGGGGCAGTTCTACTCTGTCCTGTAGGGTCGCTGTGTGTTGGAATCGACTCAATGGCAAGAGCTGTGTGTGTGTGTGTGTGTGTGTGTGTGTGTGTGTGTGTGTGTGTGTGTGT